TTATCTGTGAGAGAAAACAGTTGAGATCCACCACTAATATAGTTTTCCTGTCAATTTACTCCTATGATTTCCTTTCCCCTCTAAGTATCTGGATGTTGTGGAGGTGAAGCCAACATGGTAGAGTAAAGGCAGGGACTTGCATGAGCCCTCCCCCAAACTCCTCCAAGTACGTTTAAAAATAACTATATAGAAATTCTAGAGCAGTAGAACCCACAAAAAGAAGAAGCAAAACAAATTTTCCAGCTCAAGACAACTTAGAAGGTCAGCAGGAAATGTCTGTCCCACTTGGGTGAGAGGAGAGCACAATCCAACCCAGGCTGTGCTTGGACCCAACAAATAAGGAGCAGTCCTTGAGAGTGATTGAATCAGCAGCAGCTGCTTCCAGAGCTGTCAGCCCAAAGATGGTAAGGGGTCAAACAACTGGTCAGAAGGAGATTACAGGGATCTTCTTGCTAGCACTGAGGTAGGACTCTGTTGCTTTATCAATACTTGTATCTGGGGTGCAGTCCTGAGTAGAAGTCCCAGGGCAGGGCAAAGAGGAACACTGGCACAGCAGAGCTTGCAGCACAGTTCCAGGCCAGAAAATAATGCTTGTGGTCATTCACAGACCAGAGCACAGACCAGGACAGTACTAAACACTTCTCCTTAGATTGTACCACTTTAGAACAACTGAAGACTTACAGGTCCCTAGAAGTACCTATGAAAACAGCTTCACCAAACCTTTGAAGTTTGGGACAGTGCACTCTCCAACCTGGAAGCAGAACCACACTTTAACAAAGAGTTGAAAGTCAAGTAATGGGTTGGGGAAATGAGGATACATGGGGGGAAAACAAAACAAATCAAAAAAACCTCTGACTACAGAAAGTTATTATGGTGACAAAGAGGATCAAAATACACACTCAGAAGAAGACAATAAAGTCAAAGCTCCTACAGCCAAAGCCTCCAAGAAAAATATGGATTGGTCTCAGTCCATGGAAGAGCTCAAAAAGGATTTTGAAAATCAAGTAAGAGAGGTAGAGGAAAAAAATGTGACGAGAAATGAGAGTGATACAAGAAAATCATGAAAAACAAATCAACAGCTTGATGAAGGAGACAGAAAAAAATACAGAAGAAAACAACACCTTAAAAAAACAGACTAGGCCAAGTGGTAAAAGAGGTCCAAAAAACTAATGAAGAGAAGAATGCATTAAAAAGCAGAATTGGACAAATGGAAAAGGAGGTCCAAAAGCTCACTGAAGAAAATAATTCATTAAAAATTAGAATGCAGTAAATGGAAGCTAATGACTTTATGAGAAATCAAGAAACCAAAACAAATCAGATAAAAAAAAAAAAAAGACGACAATGTGAAATATATCATTGAAAAAACAATTGACCTGGAAAATAGATCCAGGAGAGAGAATGTTAAAATTATTGGATTACCTGAAATCCATGATCAAAAAAAGAACCTGGGCATCACGTTTTAAGAAATTATCCAAGAAATCTGCTTCAATATTCTAGAACCAGAGGGTAAAATAGAAATTGAGAGAATCCACTTATCAACTCCTGAAAGAGATCCCTAAATGAAAAATGCCAGAATGTCATAGCCAAATTCCAGAGTTCCCAGGTCAAGGAGAAAATATTGCAAGCAGCCAAAATGAAACAATTTAAGTATGGGGAGCCACAGTCAGGATAACACAAGATTTAGCAGCTTCTACCTTAAAGAACTGCAGTGCTTGGAATATGATATTCCAAAGGGCAAAGAAGCTCTAGAAGCTCTAGGAGCTCTAGGATTAAAATGAAGAATCACCTACCCAGCAAAACTGAGTATAATCCTTCAGGGGGAAAAATAGACATTCAATGAGATAGAAGACTTTCAAGCATTCTTGATGAAAAGGCTAGAGCTGAATAGAAAATTTGACTTTCCAATACAAGACTCAAAAACATAAAAAAAGTGAACAGGAAAGGGAAATCATAAGGGACTTAATAAGGAGAAACTGCTTATATTCCTACATGAGAAGATGATGTTGGTAACTCATAAGAGTTTTATCATTATTAGGGTAGTTAGAAGGAGTATAGATATTATGTGCGTGTATATATATATATATATATATATATACATATACGAGAGAGAGAGAGAGAGAGAGAGAGAGAGAGAGAGAGAGAGAGAGAGAGAGAGAGAGAGAGGGCACATGTTTGAGTTGAATATGAAGGGATGATAATCTTAAAAAAATTAAGGGTTGAGAGAGGAATGTACTGGGAGAAAGAGAAGGGGAGAGGTAGAATGGGGTAAATTATCTCACGTAAAAGAGTTAAGAAAAAGCTTTTACAGTGGAAGGGAAGAGGGAGGAAGAGAGGGGGTGTGAGTGAACCTTACTCATCATCAGAATTGGCTTAAAAAGGAAATAATACACATACTCATTTAGGTATAGAAATCTATCTTAACTTAAAGGAAAGGAAGAAAGGAAGGAGAGAAGAGAAGGGTGGAGTGATAGAAAGGAGGGCAAATTGTGGGAGGAGGTAGTCAGAAGCAAAACACTTTTGAGGAGGGACACAGTGAAAGAAGAGATAGCATAGAATAATTGGGGGCAACAGGATCGAGGGAAATAGTTAGCAAAAGTGTGAAAAAACAATTTGAAGCCAGTTTCCCTGATAAAGGCTTCATTTCTCAAACATATAAGGAACTGAGTCAAATTTATAAAAATAAGAGCCATTTCCCAACTGATAAATGATCAAAAGATATCATTAGTTTTCAGATGTAGTAACCAAATCTACCTATATTCATATGAAAAATAATACTCCAACTCATTATAGATTAGAGAAATGAAAATTAAAACAATTCTAAGGCACATACCTATTAGATTGGCTATTAGGCCAGAAAAGATAAATGACAAATGTTGGGAGGGGATGTGGGAAAAATGAGACATTAATGGACTATTGGTAAAGTTGTGAATTGATTCAACCCTTCTGTAGAGCAATTTAGAACTATGCCCAAAGGGCTATAAAACCATGCAAACCCTTTGAGCCAGTAATACCACCACTAGATATGTATCCCAAAAGAGATTTTAAAAAAGGAAGAGGACCTACATGTACAAAAATATTTATAGCAGCTCTTTTTTGGGGGTAAGGAATTTAAAATAATTTGGATGCTTTGCCATTTGGTACATATGGGTTTAGTATTGATACTATTCCATTGCCTATGGTGCTTTTTGGCAAGAGGTAGTTTCCCAGCTTATCTCTTTTATTTAGGTTCATTTTTGCTTTTGCTTTTTCCAAAATCAAGATTGCTACTCTTGCATTTTTTTCCTTTAGTTGAAGCATAATAGATTCTGCTTCAGCCCCTTATTTTTAACTCTGTGTGTCTTTCTGTTTCAAGTCTATTTCTTGTACCAACATATCACTGGATTCTGGTTTTCTAATCCATTCTGTCATTCTCTTCCATTTTATAAGTGAGTTCATCCTATTTATATTTATAGTTATGATCACTAACTCTACATTTCCCTTCATCCTATTTTTTCTGTTTAACCTCTCTCTCTCAATTTATCCTGTCCCTCTTTAATGTTACTTTTTCTTCTGACTACTGCCTTTCTTCATTTCTCCTTTCTTTTATCACTACCCTAACAGATCTATTCTTTAGGAATTATACCTTCCATAATGAAACCAGAAATTAAGTTCACTTTGGTGGTAATGATGTCTATTTCATTGTGAAGGGGTCTCTGTTTCTTCTTTCAGAGAGGAAACTTGGATAGAGAGATGGGGACACATAGAACATTGTGTGAATGAGAGAAGGAAGATCACTAAAGGGGAATATACATAAATAGGAAGGCTGGAGTTGTTCACCAAAGACAAACTTCTGGATCATTCTCAATTTGTCCAGCATTGATTCAGCTTAACATTAAAATAAAAAAATCAAGAGGAGGGCTACATGTGTATAGGAATTTTCTTTTTGCCATTCTGTTCCTGACCTGAGATGTTATATACAGAAAAAAAAATCAGAAAAGTAACCAAAAGCATAATTGGAGGAGAATAAAATCACTTTCATCTCCAGGTATGTAGAAGGTGATTTCTACACTCCAGGAAACTGTCATCTTTGAGGCTCTTTAATAGATTCCCGAAGCAGATCAGCCTGAATGGCTGGGAGCCATAACATACTAATTATCTTGCTCTCTGCTTGAGTAATTATTTTTTTTCTTCCTCTCTTCTTTTCTGATTTAAGTTCAGCAGAGGAAGAACTGCTGAGAAGTTCTAACATTGAGTGGCATGCAACTTTATTATCCTGAATAGTAGTTAATTGAGTGATACTGTCTCAGAATCACTGTGACAATGACTGCTTCCTTCTCCCAGTTATTTCTGAGTCCTTATAACCCTATGATATACTTAGAAACCTTTACAAATCCAATGAAGTCTTGGGTGATCACTGCTGATCAGAGCTGATCTCTTGAGAGGGTAGAATTATAGTCTACTTTTGTGAAAAGATTGAATGGGCTTCTAGCCAGAAACATGCATACCCAAATATTAACCCCATTGTCTAGTATTCTGACTTTATAATTTAATTGCTTTATATCTTGAAGGATTTTTCATACTGCTGCAAAAGGAAAATGCCCTGGGGATTTATTGAATCTTAATCTATCACAGTGAATACCAGAGTTTCCCACTGGTAGCCTATTTATTAGTAAATGGAATTATCAGGAATAACATAATCTTAGAATCACAGAATGCTTGCTGGAAGACACCTTTGTGATCATCTAGAAAATTCCTTTTCCAAAGCATGGATTGTCTATAACAAATGTTTATCCAATTTGCATACCTTTGGAGACAGAGCTCTTGCTGCTTAGATAATCTATTTCATTCAATTCCAGAAACATTAATTAATTGCTTATTATGTACAAGACAATGTATTAGGCAGTGGGGATACTGATACAGAAAAGGAAATAGTTCTTACTTCAAAGAGCTTGCATTCAATTTGGACTGAGGTTAAAACATGTAAATGCAAAATACATAAAAATACAAATTTATCTCACTAGATAGAGAATGCTGACAACTGGGAGGCTTGAAAAGGACTCGTGTAGGAGCTGACAACTCTACTGTAAAGGTATTTTTTTTAATTAATTAATTTATTTTTAGTTTTCAACATTCAACATTCACTTCCATAAGTTTTTGAGTTTTAAATTTTCTCTTCCTCCCTCCTTTCTTTTTTTTTTTTGCTTTTAGGCAATCGGGGTTAAGTGTCTTGCCCAGGGTCACACAGCTGGGAAGTGTCAAGTGTTTGGTCTGAGGCTGGATTTGAACTCAGGTCCTCCTGACTTCAGGGCCAGTGCTTTATCCACTGCGCCATCTTCCTCCCTCCTCTTAACCCTCCCCAAAACAGCATGCAATCTGATATAGGCTCTATATATGCATTCTTATTAAACATATTTTCACATTAGTCATGTTATAAAGAAGAATTAAAATGAATGGGAGGAACTACAAGAAAGAAGAAACAAAACAAAAAAATAAAATAAAAAGAGAGGGCAAATAGTATGCTTCTATCTGCATTCAAACTCCACAGTTCTTCCTTTGGATGTGGATAGCATTTTCCATCATGAGTCTTTTGGAGTTGTCCTAGATTCTTGTATTGCTGAGAAGAGCTAAGTCTATTAGTCAGTCATCAAACAGTTGCTGTTACTGTGTACAATGTTTTTCTGATTTTTCTCACTGCACTCAGCATCAGTTCATATTAAATCCTTCTAGATTTTTCTAAAGTCCGCCTGCTCATCATTTCTTATAGCACAATAGTATTCCATTACATTTACATGGCACAACTTGTTCAACCATTCCCCAATTGATGGGCATCCCCTCAATTTCCAATTCTTTGCCACCACATAAAGAGCTACTATAAACATTTTTGTACATGTGGGTCTTTTCCCCATTTTTATGATCTCTTTGAGATAAAGCCCTAGAAATGATATTGCTGAGTCAAAGAGTATGCACATTTTTATAGCCATTTGTGAATAGTTCCAAATTGCTCTCCAGAATGTGAGTTCACAACTCCACCAATAATGCATTAGTGTTCCAATTTTCCCACATCTTTTCTAGCATTTATAATCTTCCTGTTTTGTCATGTTAGCCAATCTGGTAGGTGTGATGTGGTACCCCAGAATTGTTTTGATTCACATTTCTCTAATCAATAGTAATTTAGAGCATTTTTTTCATATGATTATAGATAGCTTTAATTTCTTCATCTGAAAACTGCCTATTCATATCCTTTGACCATTTATCATTTGGGGAAAGACTTTTACTCTTATAAATTTGATTCAGTTCTCCATATATTTTAGATATGAGGCCTTTATCAGAGACACTGGTCATATATAAAGGTATTCTATGAGGTAAAAGTGAAGATTTTGGGAACCACTTGTTTAAAGGCTCAGAAGTACAGGATTAAAGGGCATGATTGAGGAGCAGCTAGTGGCCCACACTGACTAGAAATGAAGGTGTGTGAAGGGAACCAATAAAAAATATGATGGAGAAAGCAAGTGGAAACCAGATTGTCAAGAGCTTTGAGTGTCAAAGGACTTTTTTTCTTCTCTTTTTCTTTCTTCTCTTCTGTTCTCTTCTTCCTCATGGAATTATTCTAATTAATATGAAGTACCTCTTATAAAAACAAAATCATCATCCTTGTAATTTCTACCCAAGTTTTTTCTCTTTAGAGTAACAATGGTTTCTAACATTCAAGGATTCTTTCATCTCTAAGATGTTCTGGTTGTCATTATCAGCTATTCCTCTGAGTTACCTAGTATCACTCCCTTACTGTTGATTCAAACATCTACCTCTTTTACTTGGGACCAAATCATCTCTTGAATGTACTACTGTGAAAACCCTCCCTGCTCTCAGTATTGCTCTTCTCAAATGTGTCCTTTTTACTGCTTCCAAAATAATGCCTCTAATGCACTTCCTTCCCAAGGACCTTCATTGCCTCCCTATTGCTTATAAGATAAAATAGAAATGCCTTAACTTAGGATATGAAATCCTTCACAAGTTGGTTCAAATCTACGTTCTCATTAACTTTCCTTCACAGAAAGCACATTCCAGCCAAAGTTGACTACCATTTGGTCCCTAAACTGGCCCAAATGCATTCACCTGGGCACATTTTTGCAGGTCATTTCTTGTACCCAAAAATCACCTCTGTCATATGTTCTCCTTCTAAAATCTTTCCCTTCTTTGAAGACACAGCTAAGAGGCAAAGCATTATTTTTCTACGAAACTTCCCCTTATGTTCATTCCTTCAATAAAATATTTTAAGCCCTCCTTGAATCTCTGTCTCTTTTCTTCATAATCAATCAATTATTCAGTCAACAAGTATTTTTAAATGTTTCCTATGTTACAGGCCATGTGCAAAATGCAAAGGACAGAAAGATTAAAAATGAAATAAATCCTCTTTTAAGAAGCCTCCTTTTATTGGAGAAAAGGGAGCCTACAAAACAAATGAACAAACAAAAATTGAACACTGTATGATTATACTGATGATGCTTGGTACTGCAGAACAGATGAGAAAATGTTCCTTCTTTGGCAGAAGTGGATGACTATGGGTATGGAAAACTATATTTTCAGAGTCTGTGTTTAATTTTACTGATTCCCCCCTCTTTTTTTTGTTACAAGTTATAGTTCATTGAGTAAATCAAAGGAGAGATATTTATTGAGAAATGAATATGTATTTGGAAATGAATGTGATATAAAAGGAAAAGATAGTAAAAAAATGAGAAAATCAAAAGATAATATTTCTTTAAAAGCACTTGGTTGTGAAGGGGTTTTTTTGAGAATGATAGTATAAGATCAGGGAACAGAAAATAAGAGGAAAAGTGAGAAAATAAGTATGGATGCTTTTAAATTGATAATGCTGCCTTAAACTTTTAAAGAAATTTTACCAAAGTGGGAAACAAGCAAAATTTAAATTTCCAAGTGAAATCTGACAAAATTTCAACCAACTGATCAACAGTGTTATGAATTTAGCAGAATTGAACTTCTGTCACTGATAAGCCAACAACTAGCCCTAATGGACTCTCAGTGTTTTAAGGGTTAATCATTTTAACATTAATTCAGATTGTGACTTCTCCTCTTTCTTGGAAAAGAGGGAAAAGAAAGTGATAAAACCAGTAGTTATAATGTGATATTTATTCATATTACCATACCCCTATTAGCATGCACAATAAACTTGGCTATTATTTTGAGAAAAAAAAATATCAGCACTTCCCATCTTGAAATGAGGTCACCATTTTCTGTTTCATATCCACCCTAAAGACATGTTACAATAATAAACTTATCAAAACAACATGCTTTACCCTCTGGAATAAAGATGTCATACATAACTTACTGTGGTTAAAGTATCCCACTCTAAATGTGCTAATTTGGTGTTATATTACTCAGTGAGTACATCCTTGGAAAACAAAATCAAAGGTGACAAAGGATTTGAAAAAGTTCCTGTTCCTTTTTCTTCCTTCTAACTTTCCACTTCTACTTCCTCCTCACCATGATCATTGGTAATTGCTTATCTTCTAGATTGGTATCCTTTGTCTCTCCTGCTTTATTAAAAGGATATTAAGCATGGAATTATGTTTTATCTAAACTTTTCAAAAATAATCTCCATCATCCAACACAGCACAAAGCACATAATTATTATTTGTTCAACGAATCCATGTCTCTAACTAAAATTGGGCAATCTATCACATCAAGCAGAGATGACATTAAGCAATTAATGGCTACTCCTAGGTTTCATTTAAAAAAATAAACAAAATTCAAATTTTTATCACTATATTGTCATCTTATCCATATATTTCTATTATTCAAAAAGTCATAAAGCCAGTAGTTCTAAGGTGCCATTTGCTCATATTACCATGACCTTTATTAGCATGCACAATAAAACTTGTTTAATATTTTGCTAATATTTAAATTAACTATGTATAAAATATTGCCCTGAACTAGAATCTTAGTTATTCTTTTATAAAATAAAATTACAATTGTCTGGCAAAATTTACTCCAATAATTCTTGTATCCTCAAATTGCTAAGGTATATCGAGGAATACATAATGGAACTGCACATACTAGCATTAGTACCATGACGAGAAATGATGGATTAGATGTTGGAAGAAGAGAATACATAGGAGAGGGAGTCAAGAACCTCTGATATCTGCTGGATGAGTAAGGAAATTATTTAGTGCAGTGGAAGTAGAACTGAACTTTTAGTAAAAAAGATGTGAATTATAATTTAATATATTCTACTTATTAGATGTATGACTTCAGACAAAGCACTTAAACTTGATGAGTCTCAAGATTATTAATTGTAAATGAAATGATTTAATAACATTATTTATAAACTCTCTTACAGTACCAATCACTTAAATCCCGTAGTCTTAGTCTGACCTGCCCAAGCTTTATCTGACATATATAAAAGCCTGGGTGCAAATTTTGGTAAAGAATATTTGATAAGTTGATGGGTCAGAGAGGGAACAAAGAGGATTTCAAAAAGATTGGGTACCATACTGTATTTGTGCCAGTTGAAAAAAGACAAAATAAAAAAGGTAAGGAAAAAGAAGAAGAGAATAAACATTTATTAAACACTATGTGCCAGGCATAAAAAGTGTTTTACAAATATTTTTTTAATTTGATTTTTTTTATTTGAAAGCAAAACAAAACTTCTCTGTTTGGCATAAAGAAAATAAGACATAGGGGTTACAACACAGTTGTATTCAAGTATCAGGCTAGGTTTACACTAGTGTTTCTTGAGTCCAGATAACAAAACTAGTGTAGAAAAGCAGATGTCAGGTACCACAGATATAAAAAAAATCCTGACAATCAGAAGTTCAACAGTAGAATGCGTTGCCTTAAGGGGTCACTGGAGATCTGACAATGAAGGCTGGAAGACCACTTATTGTATGTGTCAGAGAAGGGCACATTCTTCATGTCCAGGTTTGACCAGCTGGCTTCAGAGGCTCTCCCTGGTGCTGAGGTTCTATGAGTCTGCAATTCTTCATACACTATTCTATGCTTTGTCTTTGGGCAAAATCTTGTCCTTTCTATTCACTTGTGATACTCCTTTCTCCTTCCTTCTTCGTCTCTCTTTTTTCCCTTATCTATTTTTCTCCATTCTACTTTCCCTTTTCCTTCTTCCCTTCCTCTCTCCCACAGTAGAGTGGACAGAGCCATTGAAAATGCAGTCAGAAGATTTGTGTCTGGCTCTGGCTCCACCCCACATTGTAGCTGTGTTATGTAAAAGTCTCTTAACATCTCTGATTCATTTCCTCACTGTAGAATGGGGATAATGGTACTCAATCAATATATCCCACACCGTTCTAAGGATATTATTCACTAAATGTAAAGTGCCATGGTATCTAAAGAGACACGAAGTATTATTAACATTTTTTGAATTTACCATTAAACAGAAAAATTTCTCTCTGCTCTTGAACCTAAGGACCCCAAATCCAGGATGATTTGCACTTACAAATACCTTAATCTATTCTACTGCCTTTCAGAGAGGAAGCCTAGAAAAAAAATGAATGTGAAATGACAGGATCTGATTTCTCACTGTTTATTCATGTGTCAACTTAAGAAAGTTATTTGATACCTTTATGTCTCATTTTCCTCACAGTAACATTAGGGAGTGGACTAGCAGTCCTTTCTAGTTCTCCGATCTGAACACAGAAATTCTCTGTGCATTTGTTATTTACAGAGCTCAGTCTTTAGAGCTTTCCAGAAAGAAAGATAAGACTTGAGTGTAGAACCAAGATGACTGACTATTCTATATACTACCAACAAAGTCCAGCAACAAGAGATAGGAAGAAAAAAATACATTTAAAATAACTGTACACAATTTAAAATGCCTGGGTGTTTACCTGCCAAGACAAACCAAGAAACACTATGAACACAATTATAAAACTTTTTTTTTCACAGAAATAAAGACAGATCTGAATAAATGGAGGAATTTTAATTGTTCTTGGGCAGGCTAAGCCCACCTTTTTCTAACTTTTGGTGTCTACCTCTCATTCAACTCTCACTTGGGACTCCAAGAAGCTGTAGCATGTGCAGCAGCCATACCCTGGTAAATGCATCTTCGTAACAAGTCATGGGTAACCAACAGGATTCAAATCCATTGGTGAGTTAGGGGGATGTCTAACCCAAGCATGTGAAGATGTCCCCCTGGGGCGAAGGGACAAATGAAAACAATTTGTATCAATGGCTATGAAGGCAATTAAAGCAGGTGTGCTGTGGAGTGCTTAGAACTTGGTCAGACAGACATAAAAGATACCAAGGTCATCCACTACATTCCAAGCCATGATGTCATTGACTTTTTTGAAAACAAAGGACAAAACAACAACAATACTACTGGGTCTGTATCCCAAAGATATCAAAGAAAAGGGAAAATGACCTATTTATAAAAAAATAAAATATGTATAGCATCTTTCTGTGGTGGAAAAACACTTAGATATTGAGCAACTGTCCATCAATTAGGGAATGGCTGAACAAGTTGTGGTATGTGATTGTGAAAGAACACTCTTTAAGAAATGATGAGGAATATGTTTTCAGAAAAGAAAAAAAAAACCTGGGAAGACTTATATGAGTTGATGCAAAGTGAAGTGAATAGAACCAGGGGAATACTGTACATAGTAACAACAATATTGTAAGGATGAAAAACTGTAAAAGTTAGCTTCTCTGACCAAGACAATGACCTGAGACAGTACCAAAGATTCCATAATTAAAAATGTTATCCATCTCCAGAGAGAGAACTAATGAACTCTAAATGGAGATTGAAACATACTTTTTAAACTTTCTTTTACTTTTCATGTTTTGTGTATGTTTTACTTTTACAACATAGCTGATATAGAAATGTTTTGTGTGACTTCATATATACATAAGTACACATGTACATATATACATATATATATGCATATATATATGCATATATATATATATATATATATATATATATATATATATATATATATATATATATATATACACCTACGTGTGTGCATGTGTAAGAACAGGCCTGTTTTCCTCTGTCCTTGTTATACAATGCCTACAATATTACATTCATTTCTAGGTACCACACTTTAGGAAGGGCATTAATAAACTTATACTCATAAGACAGGTACAGAAGAAGATGGTAAGAAAACTAGAACACAGTTCATATGAGGAGCTATCAAAACCATAGAATTTAGAAATGGAAAGGACTTTAGAGATCTGTCTAAAATCACATGTGTTGTAAGTGAAAAAAGGAAAATTTAGACCCAGATTTTTTTGGTTTCAAATTTAATATATATTTCAAGTACATTTGGCTGGAAATAATCAGGCAGATAAAGGACCATAGACTGCTTTCTTTAAAAATATAAAGTGCTGTCAAGGGCAGTAGACATTCATCTTGATAGAATAAGATGATTTTAGAATTGCAAAAGACTTCATACACCTTCTAGGACTACTCATTTATGCACAGGAATTCCCTTTTCAATTGTTCCAGTGAATGGTCATCCAGCTTACCTGTTTCTAAAGTAAAGTAAAGTATATAAAGTATCCTAAAGTATAGAACTAGACC